TGAATCTAAGTCTTAAGTGTTAGTAATGATTTCATTATGTTTCAGAGTGGCATTTAAATGAATGTGTCTTTTGTTTGTTCATAAACACAGCAGGAATAACAATGCCCCCAAATTAGCCCAATTAGTGGCATTTTGGGTATGAAATATGTAGATTTTTGAAGAGGAAAAGACTCATTAATTTGTGGCTTTGGCTTTTCTCATCAGTTTTGCCTTTTGGTGTAGTTTCTTTGACCCTTCTCTGAAGGGCAATTATGAAAGTGGGAGACTCATTCTGTTAAAGGAAATAGACATGGCTGAATGGGGAGGGGAGGATACCAAGTGAATTAAGATGACTTTTCAATGGGCCACAGGAAGGCTTTGTTTCTTAAAGAATGACTGAATATAAAAGGGAGAATATTTGTCTGCTGAATGAAAATGCATACTTAGAAACATTTATCACTGTAGTATAGCTCTTTCCTACTCTTTCTCCATCCCTTGTCACTCAGGTAGGGGTACAAGCAGGGGAAGTAGGATTTCAATAAATAATTATAGAGGGGCATACTGTAGTTAAGAGATTGATGTAGCATTTCCACATATGAATTCTAATTTCGGTGGGAGTTTGGGGAGACTACCACAATAATTTATGGTAACCAGGATTTTGGCATGTGCTTTACCTTGGACTGAGAGAAAGAAAGGCACATACCCTCCCAATCCCATTCTCCTCCCCCTCTCCTCCCACAATTACAATGGTTTTGTCTGACTTGATTCCCTTGTGCTATGTAAGCTGAAATCAAACAAACTGGAAAAGTGCCTTCCTTCTATCTGAGCACATGAACTGCAGACACCAAAAGTAGCTCACAGTCTGGAAGGTGGAAACTCAATGATGTTCAATGACCTCTGACTGCACCAAATTACATCCCCAACCCTAATGGTAGCAATGCTCTCCTCCTTGCAGTAGCAAGAGGTTCCAGATCCTTCAAGAGAGATGCAGGAATGAGGGGAAAAACCATGGTGATTGCAGTGTTTGACCTTGGATCCTGATAAGATGACTGATAGTTTCTTATACAGTGCTGGTCATTTGTAACAATCAAAATGAATGCCATTCATTTTTGGTTTCTGTGATATAGGCTATGTTTGGCTCTAGTAAATATCAGCTCTTATGTAATAGAATCATAGGATCATGGCTTTGGAGATGGAAAGGACCTTAGAGGTCACCTAGTCCCACCCCTGTCATTTTACAAATAAGGAAACCGAGGCCCAGAGAAGGGAAATGGCTTGGCTAAGGTTACATAAGTAGCAGAGGTAGAATTTGAACTCAGAGCCTCTGAATCTTAATCTAGTGCTCTTCTCTCCCCCTACACTCCCCGCCCCATGAGCTATTTTAAAAAAAATTTTGCTTTCTCACTACAGTCTAATTAGCCCCCACATCTATGAAACAGATCTTGTGCACTTAGAATAACCTGAAAAATTTTAGAGGATTATTAATATTCAGATATAGGGGATATACAAGACAGTCAGGCTGTCAGAACTGACAGAATTGACCATGGAAAGCAGTACATCAGGTCAGCATAATTAGCTCATATGCTTGATGTTCTATTAGTGCCTTCAGTGGAATAATATGGAGCCACCAGTCAGCCATATTTTCTTTTCTTTTCTCCTTCCTTCCTTCCTTCCTTCCTTCCTTCCTTCCTTCCTTCCTTCCTTCCTTCCTTCCTTCCTTCCTTCCTTCCTTCCTTCCTTCCCTCCTTCCTTCCCTCCTTCCTTCCCTCCTTCCTTCCTTCCCTCCTTCCTTCCTTCTGCAATTGGGGTTAAGTGACTTGCTCAGCGTCACACGGTAAATGTTTGAGCCTAGATTTGATCTAAAGTCTTCCTGACCCCAGGGCTGGTGCTCTGTCCACTGTGTTGCCTAGCTACCCCTGACACTTGTTTTCTAAGAAAGGACCAGTCAAACTGAGTGCCACAGTTTGGACAATTGGACACATAGTTAAATAACCTTTAATTTACCCAGCTTCCTTTGGTGTTAGCCAGATTCTTCAAAGGTGCCATTTTATCTATTTGCCTCCAAAATGACATCATTCATAATGGGAAGCACAAACAGACAATAAAAGAGGTTGGAGGTAGAGGTAATGTTACTGGATCTGTCTTAATATATATCTTTGAGAGGGACTGCTCTGCAGCTGGTTCCAGCACAGGATTGATGCCCTATACTCAGAAGAACAATGAGCAAAATTTCTTTTCTTCTTTTCCATGTAATTTTATGGAATGAGAACATGTCCCAGGAGTAATGGATCAGGAGGCAATCTTTCCATGCAAATTTCCTGGCATTTCTTAGCTACTAAAATAATTACTCTGCAGTTTGTGAACTAATAATAGCTTAGTTAAAGATTTCATTTTATACTCTGACCAAACATGATATAAAAGGACCACACTTATCATAAATACTCTCTCCTTTACTGGGCTTGGCAAGGGTAGATTTGATGTCTTCCTCTCTGAGGAAGACTCACCAGAATGTCATAAGCAATTAAATTACATGATTGATGTGAAGTAGAGAGGTAGGAGCAGAGTGGAGAGTGCTTTGAAAACTCAATGGCCATTGGCACTAGTATCTAGGGAACTCATGTTTTCCTAGGGAAAAAAAGTCTTAGAGCCGCATGGAAATCATTGTTCCCTGGAACAATGAATAGAACTATGCATCTTTTGGCAAGCTAAAAGCAATTTCATTTCATGTAAATTTTCGAAACCCTAAAGACTATACATTCTTATGGCTTTAAGCAATTATAGTTAGAGTTTGGCCTACCTAAACAAAGCTTTTGAAATTTTAGTGGCCCCCCCCCAAATGTTAGCAGATACTAATCTGACCCTAGCTAAAGCTGAGTATGTATACTCAGAAGGAATTTCTTAAAAAAGATTATTTTAATGATTTGACCTCACTCTTATCCCCATCTTCCCCAATCATTCTCTGTGAAGACACAACCATAATAAACAATTAATTACACACAGGAAAGTATGTTTTGGAACAATTACAACTCCATTAGTTCAGGCATATTATATGTTTCATTTAGAGTATAAAAGTCAGGACACCTGTTGCAGGATGTTATTTTTTTTTGCTTAGTCTGATCCCTGTGATTAAATGGTTCATGCCCTTTTGAAGACATCTGAAATAAACAATTTTTCAAATCTATTGGCATAGACTTATTATGAAGTATATTTTTTCATGAACTTACCTCATTCTATTTCTTAGTATACATATAAACAAATATCAAAACATGTAATAATTTTTAAAAATTAACTAGAGGAATGTCTTACCCAATTATGGTATACAAATGTCATATAATATTGTGCCATAAGAAATAATGACAATTAACAATTCAAGGAAAAATTGGAAGATTTATATAACTGATATAGAATGAAGAAACAAGAACACTATATACAATGGCTACTGTAATGTGAATGAAGACAATACCATAAAGAAACTGATCTCTAGTTAATGCAATGACCAATATTAGTCTTAGAGGACGGATAACGAAACACATTTTATTCTTCTTAATCAGAGTTGGGGGTAAGGGAAGTTCAATGTTATGGCACATAACTGCTGTGTCATTTGGCTCTACAGAACAATTTTTTTCTTTTTTACAAAGGAGGGTTCAACTGGAAGTGGTTGTATCAGGAAATGACAGGGGCAACCCCCCCCAAAACATTGATAAAACCTTTTTAATAAAAAATAGCAAAAGCTATGTTACTTTTAAAAACCAGCTAGTTGATTTTTTAAAACTGATTTGACTGGTCCAGTGTGTCAACTTAAACTAGTTTATGCGCGCACGCGCACACACACACAGAGCTCATGTCAGTTATGCTTCATGATATCTCTTTATCTTTAAATAATCAAATTTTACTATTTGCAATGAATTAATATTAATTAGAAATAAATCTTTATTTGTTAGGTAGACTATTTTCTTTCTCAACAAAAAAGTATAGCATGAATTTCGAATAGATTATATCAATGATAAAAGATTAAGGAAATGTAAGCAACAAACTTATCCAGATTAAAAAAAATAACTTGTGTGTTCCCCAAATGATGTCAAAGAGAAATTAAACATTAATGATTGAAAAGAAAGTGGTGCTTAGATGGAACTGAAAGTATTCATTAGTTAACCCAGAGAGGCACTGTCTGCTTTTGCTTTCTCTTAGATGCTTTACAATCTGTTCCATTTTTGGTTTCAGTTTTCTGAAAGACATGCAATCACCCTAATAGATTTGAAAAAGTTGTTTATTTCAAATGTCTTCAAAAGGGTGTGAACCATTTAATCATAGGGATCAGACTAAGAAAAAAAAATCCTGCAGCAGGTGTCTATTAGTACACATACATTCTTTTTCCATAGCATTATTAATTTCTAGACTGGTTTCCTTTGTTAGTCACTTTCAGATTAGCCCTAAGAATTGTGTGTGGCTGCTTTCTTTCAGTACATACTAGAAAAATATTTCTAAGCATATTTTAGTTGCAGTCATAGGAGACCTCACCTCCCTCTTTTTAACAAAAAAAGGAATTTTAAACAGAAATCTTCCTATTTCAGATGATTTGATTAGGTGAAGGTTGTGATGCCTGTTCCTGAGCAATTTCAAATGACATAAATTATATTTTTAGATTTCGCATTTGGAGTTTTCACAAAGAAACTAAGAAGGATCTATTTCAGGGAAATAACACTGCTGCTGCTACTTGTCATGTGTGCCTGAAATGTATTCTGCATCTTATGATAAGAATTGTCTGCTGTAAAACCACATGGTGCAAGATTTTTTTTGCATCAATTCTCCTTTTCAACTAACTTCTAACTTAAGTCAACTAATGCTTAATGCAATTTAACTTAAAGTTTTGCAGCAAATGTTCAACCAGGCCTCTCCTACCTTGAATGTTTGTATCCATCAAAGCTTTATATAAACAAGTAATTAGCACACACACACACACACACACACACACACACACACACACACACTCGCACATAGCAACCATTTAAATTAGAACTCACCTTGGGATCCTTGAACTTGGAGAGCAAGTCCCAAAATACAAAATATAAGTCCAGTTTCCAAATGCATTCTGGTTATTGATCATGGACTACTTCTGATGACAATCAATTGGAAAAAAATCCCTTTTATTACTATCTCAGAAGTTATTTTAAAAGCAAAAGAATAATTGAAATGGTCTTTCTTCTTTCTTTAAATTCTTCCCATTATGAAGCTTATTGATTGATGTATTTATCTATATTAGAGTCCTTGGGAGGAATTGGCATAGCAAGTATCAAAGTATAGACTGTGGAGCATCAGTCTTCCAGGTTTGCCTGTCTATCACAAGGGACCAAATGGGGGTGCTAGTTTCTGGGGAAAAGCTGTCAGTTTCTGTTTCTGGAATAATCTGCTCATCTTCTGCTAGACATAATCCCTTCTTAAGGGCCAATGGAAGAATTGTCATCCTATTAACCTTCTGGAGTAGCATCTGTCAGCCTCAGTTCCAGGAGTGCTGGATAGCATTATAAATAAGCCTCTAGAATCCATTAAAAGTAGCCATTGACAGAAGGAATAACTTAAAAAATCAGCTATTCACCTATCTAGTGGCCTCCTGGCAAAGGCCAAGGAAGGTTGACATTTTAGGGTAAGATGTTTCCAAAATGATACAAACAGGTAATAATCCATTGGAAGATGATAATTACCTCCCTAAAGGTATCTGCCATTTTGGCCTTTAGAGGTCTGGAAACCCTCTCTGGCCTCATACCAAATAACAGGTCCTACATCCTACTTTTAATTAAACATTGGGAGAAGCGAATTTTAGCTAAATTTTAAAAAAAGGTCATTGCCCAACTGATAGTCATCACATCTGGAGCAATCATTTTAAAGCTGAAAATCACAGAACAGGGAGAGAAATCACTGTTAGCTGGAATAGGTCAAGGGATAGTTGTAGACAGGTATAACAAAATAAATGGTTCTTTAACTTTTGTTACGTAAATAATCCTGTTATATTAATGTGTCTTGGGTATAGGATCATAGGGTTGAATGAACCTGGAAGAACCTAGAAATCAGCTGGCCCAGAGAAGTAAGGTGATTTGCCGGAAGGCACAAAGCTATTAAGACACTAGAAGGATCAAAATCAAGGGATCTGAATACAGGTGCTTTGATTCTAAGTCCAATGCCATTTTCAAGGTGCTATTAGCTTGCACATGAGTTCACAATGTTTTTCAAGGATGAATTATCATTAGCATGTGCATATATCTAAAATCTTGCTGGGTACTGGGGAAAAGACAGAGAGAGAGAGAGAGAGAGAGAGAGAGAGAGAGAGAGAGAGAGAGAGAGAGAGAGAGAGAGAGAGAGAGAGAGAGAGAGAGAGAGAGAGAGAGAGAGAGAGAGAGAGAGAAGAGAAAGAGAGAGAGAGAGAGAAAGAGAAAGAGAGAGAGAGAGAGAGAGAGAGAGAGAGAGAGAGAGAGAGAGAGAGAGAGAGAGAGAGAGAGAGAGAGAGTGTTCACTGAAAAGGCATGGAGGCAGGAGATAGGACTATTGAGTTACAGGAATAGCTAGCAGTATAGTTTGTCTGGAATGCTGAGTTGTTTGTCCTTCATTTTTGAAGAGAGCCAATGACATCACAGGAGATGTCTTGACTTGTGAGTAAATTGGATGCGAGGCATAGTTGTGCAAAATCATCAGACTCACTCTCTCTTCCAGAGTCACCAAAGTCCAGCGGCAAGACAAAAGTCAAGACAATTGGTGGTGATCCCAAGATGCAGTGGATGACCTTGGCATCTTCGATATCTGACCAAGCTCTAAGTGCCTCACAGCACCTGCTTCTGTGGCCTTTGGAAAGAAACTACTCATTCTGCCTGGGAAGTCTTCATATGCTTGGGATAAACATCTCCCTAACTCACCCTAACAGGTTTGAAGCTTGTTTAGCTCATCTGCTAAGATGGTTTTACTGGGATGTGGCCACTGGACATGCTACAGGTTCTTGGAGCCACAGGTGAGAGTTGGGTGATAGGTGGACACCAAAGGTGAATGAGCAGCCCTGAAAAGGGCTAAACAAACCCCAATGCCAGAGGTGCTAGTCCTCCCTGAACATCCCATACACCCTGGAATGTTGAGCATACGAACAAGAACAGTAAGAAATTAAGGTGGAAAGGAAGGTGCAAGTCAGTTTCGGGGGGGATATGGTATGCCAGGCAAAGCACTTTTTGTTTTATCCTATATCCTAATTCTAAGTTTTCTAGGTAGTGTGATCCTGGAATTCTGTCTAAGAGCTGAGATGGGAGATTTCTCTAACAGCCCCTGCCTTGGGGAATGTCTCAAGAGTAAGCACAGATCTAAGAGCTTGATTTTTTGCCTTTCTAGAGAGAGAAGAGGAGTTCCTGAGCAGTGGATTGTCCATATCACTCCTGAAACTGGAGAACAGTAAAAGTCTAAAATCATGAGATGAGAGAGCAGTGTGTTTTGTTCCCTTCTATAACTGTGATTTATTTGGAAATGAAGTCTGATGGACATGGATTTGCTTGTGCAAAAGCCTCAGTGTTTGTTGGTTGACTTGACAGGGAGTCCAACTATAGTAAGTGAGCCAAGTAGCATTTTTTAAGCACCTAGTGTCCTGGGATGCCCAAGTAACTGTCAGTCTCATTTGTCAAGCATATGTTATGTGCTAGGCACTATACTAAGTGCTGGGGGTACAAATAGAGGCAGACAACAGTACCCGCCCTCAAAGACTTTACAGTCTAATGGGGGAGACAACATGTAAATAACTATGTACAAACAAGATGCAGGATAAATTGAAGATAATAAACAGGGAAGTCACTATCATTTAGGTGGATTGGTAAAGGCTTCTTGCAGAGGGTGGGACTTTAGCTGAGACTTGAATGAAGGAAAGGCAGGAGGTGGAGATGAGGAGGGAAATCATTCCAGCCTAGGGGGAAAGTCAGCGAAAAAATGTGGAGTCCAGAGATAGAGTGTTGTGTGTGAGGAACAGCAAGGAGCAGGTGACATTAGATTACAGAATACACATAAGGTTTAAGACTAGAGGACTAGAAGGGTTGGAAGAACCTGGATTATAGAGGGGTTTATAAGCCTAATAGAGGATTTTATAATAGGAAGCCACTGGAATTGATTGAAGTAGGGATGGTGTTGACATGGTCAGGCATGCTTTAGGAAGAGCTATTTATTTGGGCTGGAGTGGGAGAGACTTGAGACCAGCCAGACCCAACCACTAAGCTATTGCAATGATCCAGGCATGAAGTGATGAGTGACTGTACAGAAAGGTGGCAGTGTTAGAGAAGAGGAAGGGGCATACACGAGAGATGTTATGAAGGTAGAAATGATGGGACTTGGCAACTGATTGGATATTTGGGGCCAGAGTGGAGAAGTCAAGAATGATACCTAGGTTGTGAACTTGAATGACTGGGAGGAAGTTAAGAAGAAGGAAGGGTTGAAGAAATGAAGATAAAGAGCTCAGTTCTGGACATGTTGAGCTTCAGTTATCTACAAGCCATCCAGTTTGAGATGTCTAGCAGGCAGTTAAAGATGTGGGATGGGAGGTCAGGACAGAGGCTAGGGTGGGACAAATACATTTGATAATTATCTGTATAAAGATGATAGTTGAATTCATGGGAACTGATGAGATCATCAAATGAAAAAGTATAGAGGGGAAGAGAGAAGAGGGCACTGGACAGGGCTCTAGGGGACATTCACATTTAACAAACATGACACAGATGAAGATTCAGCAAAGGAGACTGGGAAAAAAAGAGGTTTGACAGGTAGGAGAAGAATGAGAAGAGATCAGTATCACAAAAAGCTAGAGAGAAGAAAATCGTCAACAATGTCAAAAACTGCAGAAAGCTCAAGAAGGATGAACATTGAGAAAAAGCTATTTGATTCAGCAATGAAGGGATCATTATGTGGGGCAGCTAGGTGGTACAGTGGATAAAGCACTGGCCCTGAAGTCAGGAGAACCTGAGTTCAAATCCGGCCTCAGACCAAACACTTAACACTTACTAGCTGTGTGACCCAGGGCAAGTCACTTAACCCCAATTGCCTGAAAAAAAAAAGAGATCATTGTGGGGCATCTAGGTGGCACAGCACACACAGCACTGGCCCTGGAGTCAGGAGAACCTGAAGTCAAATCCAACCTCACTCAGACACTTAACACTTACTGGCTATGTGACATTGGGCAAGTCATTTAACTCTGCGTGGGGTGGGGGAAGGGAAGATCATTGGTAACTTTGGAGAAAGCAATTTCAGTTGAATGATGAGACCAGTAGAGTTAAAGAAGGTAATAAGAGGACAGGAAGTGGAAGCATTGATAGTAGACAAGGAGGCATTATGAATTTTGGATGCACTGCATCATGCCCTGTGAAAGAGAAGGATTTCACTGGAACGCCATAATGTTGTTCTCCTGGTGACAAATTCAGTTCCTTTCAAAGAAGAGCTTTATGAGTTTTCTTTATCTCTTTATGGGCTCTGGTGAATTCCTTTTATCTTCTGCATTTTCTATGGGATGTGATTAAGGCAATCATCTGCCTGTGTAGTATAGGAGCTAGGGGCCCTGTTACTCACAGTTGTGGAAACCTAGATATGAACATTTTTGGAAATTTTCTGCTGTAAATTCTGAGTGAGTATTATGAGCCATAGAGATATTGATCTTTTAGGGCCATTTCTGAAATCAGATGTAACCCATGAGCCCAGCTATTTGTAGCCCTGGGGTATGACTTACATATAGCGTTTATTTTTTACCTAAAATATCCACAAAGTTAATCCTGTGCATTTAAACCCACCTGTGCATTTTCTAAGCACGTCTGTTTTTCAAATTTTCACAATGAAGTGTGTGTGTGTGTGTGTGTGTGTGTGTGTGTGTGTGTGAGAGAGAGAGAGAGAGAGAGACAGAGAGAGAGAGAGAGAGAGAGAGAGAGAGAGAGACAGACAGACAGACAGACAGACAGAGACAGGGAAAGACAGAGTCCAATGTGACAACGCACACTAGTATTTTGAAGGTCAAGAGTTCCCTATTTTAAAGGCTCTAGTTCTTTTGGGGAATTACTGGAAGCAGAGTCCTTAACACTTGTGTTAATACTTTATTCACATTGTTCTCTTTCATTTAGCTGAAAATAGGTTTTCCTAT